AAGAGGATTTATCCCTGGGATGCAAGTAAGGGTCAACATACAAAAATCAACATGTGATACACCACATCAACAAAATGAAGGATAAAAATCATATGATCATCTAAATAGATGCATAAGAAGCATTTGAAAAATTTAAATCTTTTCAATATAAAACCTCTCAACAAGTTAAGTATAGAAGGAACTTACCACAACAGAATAAATGCCATATTTGACAAGCCCACAGCTAACATCATACTCAACAGTGAAAAGCTGAAAGTTTTTCTTCTAAGATATAAAACAAGACAAGGCTGCCCCCTCTCATCAGTATACTAGAAGCTATAGCTAACACCTAAGACATAAAAGGAAATAGAAGGTACACAGATTGGAAAGGAAGACATAAAACTGTCCCTGTTTGCAAATGACATTAAAGTCTATGTAGAAAATCCTAAATAATCAACAAACTCCTGGAATTAATAAGCGATTATAGCAAGGTTGCAGGATACAAAGTTAATACAGTCATGAGTCGCTTGATGATAGAGATACGTTCTGAGAAATGCATCGTTAGGTGATTTTATGATTGTGCAAACATCAAGGAGTGTACTTACACAAACCTAGACGGTATAGCCTACTACAAACCTAGGCTATATGATACTAATCTTGTGGGACCACCGTCGTATATGCAGTCTGTCTTTGATGAAAACATGGTTAGACATCACTTGACCGTCTACAAAACTCAACTGATTTACTATATACCAGCAATGAACAAGTGAAATTTAAAATTAAAAAACACGATACCATCTATATTGGTACCGAAAATATGAAATAATTAGGTATAAATCTAGCAAACTATATGCAGTACCTATATGAGTAAAACTACAAATCACTGATGAACAAAATCAAAGAACAAATAAATTGATGGAGAGATGTTCCATATTCAAAGATAGGAAGACTCAATATCGTGAGCATGTCAGTTCTTCCCAAATTGATGTATTGAGTCAGGGCAATCCAAATCAAAATCGCAGCAAGTTATTTTGTGGGTACTAACAAAATGATTTTAAAGTTTATATGGAGAGACGAAAGGCCTAGAAAAGCCAACACAATATTGAAGGAGAAGAACAAAGTTGGAGGACTGACACTACCCAACTTCAAGACGTATTATAAAACTACAATAATCTAGACAGTGTGGTATTCACAAAAGAAGAGAAAAGTGGAATAAACAGAGAGCCCCAAATAAATATAGTCAACTGATCTTTGAGACAGAAGCCACAGATAAAGAAACAACTGCCTTTGACAAAAAAGGCAATAGAATGGAGAAGATCATCTCCACAATAAATGGTACTGGGGATAACTGGACAACCATATGCCAAAAAAGGAATAGAGACACAGACCTCACACAGTTCATAAAAGTTGTGAAAATGGATCACAGACCTAAATGTAAAATGCAGAACTATAAAACTCCTATGAGATAACATAGGAGAAACTCTAGGTGACCTTGGATTTGGCAATGAGGTTTTAGTTGCAATATCAACGACATAATCAATGAAAGAAAGAATTGATAAGCTGGACTTCATGAAAATTAAAAATTTCCACTCCGCAAAAGATACTGTCAAGAGAATAAAATGATAAGCCACAGACTGGGAGAAAATATTTGCAAAAGATATCAGATAATGGACTCTTAGCTGAAATATACAAAGAAGACTTAAAACAACGCAGCAATAAGGACACAGACAACCTGATTAAAGAAGAAGCCCAAGACCTTAACAGACACCTTTCCAAAGAATATACCCAGAAGGAAAATAAGCATGTGAAAAGATTCGACACTTCATATGTCATGAGGGAAATGCAAACTGAAACAATGAGATATCACTACACACCTATTAGAATGGCCAAAATCCAGAACCGCGACAACAGCAAATGCTGGCAAGGATGTGGAACAAGAGGACCTCTCATTCATGGCTGGTGGGAATGCAAAATAGCACAGCCACTTTGGAAGACAGTTTGGCAATTTCTTTTAAAACGAAATATGCTCACACCATATGATCCAGCAATCACACTCCTTCGTATTTACCCCGAAGAGTGGAAAACTGATGCCTGCACAAAAATCTGTACATGGATGTTTATAGCAGTTTTATTCACAAGTGCCAAAACTCAAAACTTGGAAGCAACCTTGATGTCCTTGAGTAGGTAAATGGATAAATAAACTGTGGTATATCTGGACAATGGTATATCATTCAGAGCTAAAAAGTAATGATCTAGCAAGCCATGAAAAGAATTGGAGGAAACTTGAATGCATGTGGCTAAGTGAAAGAAGCCAATCTGAAAAGAATACTTAACGGATAATTCCAACTATATGACATTTGGAAAAGGCAAACCTATGGAGATAGTAAAAACATCAAGGGCTGCCAGGGGCCAAGTGGAAGAGAGAGATGACTAGGAGAAACACAGAAGATTTTTAGGGTTGCGGAAATGATGCGGGGTTGGTGAGCCGAGGAGTCGAAAGAAAGATTTCTTAGACTCTTAAGATCTAGCAGTAGTGCTCTTTTATTTAGAGAATAGTGTAGCATGGGGACAGGACCCATGGGCAGTCAGAGCTTCTGCTGCCGCCGCGTCTGCTGCCCCCGCTGGCATGGGGACAGGGCCCATGGGCAGGCAGAGCTGGTGCGTGGGGACAGGACCCACGGGCAGTCAGAGCTCCTGCTGCTGCCCCGAGTTGAGGGTTAGGGCTAAATTTAAGGCATAGGTATGTGAGTCATCTCTTTACGAGACAAAGAAAAAAAGTTAAAATGGTACCAGTGCCGGTAGGGTCCGGCCATTGGGCGGTCCCACAACTTTTAGATAAGAATCAAACCGGATTGAGTAAATGGCAGAAGTCACCGCTCAAATATTATCTTCAACTAAAGACAAAGGAGGATTTTGGGGGGGGTGGTCAGTTGCATGAGGTTGCCAGACAGTAAACAACTTAAGTTCTTGCCTTCCCCATTAAGAGTTTCCAGAGATAAGGCCACCCCCCATTCCTCCTGGCGCAGAGAGGGAGGCGTGGAGATTTCCTTCCCAAATGCAACTGTCTCTGATCAAAGGGCAAACAAATTCCACTCCTCAGAGCCTGCTTCTTATCTGTAGTTTTAAAACTAACCAGCCTAAAAGTCCTCATCATAAACCGTTTTAAAATTAAGCAGCCTAAAAATCCTCATCAAAACTACTGTGTATGATACTACATTGTTGGGTACACGTTGTTATACTTTTGTCCAAAACCACAGGCGTACACCACCAAGAGCAAATCCCAATGTAAACTATGGACTCTGAGTGATAACGGTTCATCAGTTGTAACAAATGTCCCACTCAGGTGGTACACGTTGATAATTGGGGGAGGAGGGCTATGCAAGTATGGGGGCTGGGAGCACATAGGAAATTTCTGTACCTTCTGTTCAATTTTGCTGCAAACCTAAAACTGCTCTATAAAATATGTCTACTAAAAAAAGACAGTTTAACTTATGTAAATTTAGTGCTAATAGAATTTCAGGCATCACTGGGGAGACTCTTTTAAACAAAGCAACTTTTCATGAGGAAACAAACTAGTGTCATTCTGGGTACTTTTTCTCAGAAACAAACCAAGTAGAAATCTGATTTTTTAAAAAGGGAGAACAATTTCTGGTATAGAGAAACATACACTTCATGAATGTACAATTTGATGTTCAAATCAAGAAAAATATACCTAACCATTTCTCTTCAGTTTTGTGTGACAGCATTTTGTTTCACAGTTGTGATTACTGAGGCAAATATCAGGAGAGGATGAGGAAGGTATCCAGAATTACTATTTATTAGTTTTATACACTCTTCAGCTAAGCCGTGACTTTACTGGCCAAGACCCCTAATTTCCTCTTGGACCTGGAGGGTGGGGTGAAGTTTCCTTAGGCTGGAAAGTTCTTGGACCTCTAATCCACAGCTTCCTTTCTCAACATCCACATGTTGTGCCAGATTGTTATACACAGTTCACGATTGACACTAACAAGGCAAAGTTTGGGGTGAGAATTTGATCAAATTATAGTCTTGTTTTATGAAAAAATGTTAACGGGTTAAAAAATTAAGTCAAGATAAAAGAGCAGGATGGAATAGTATAGTGTAGAAACATCTTTTCAAACATAACATGTTTTTCCAAAATTTGGAAGTGGGCCAATCCAGGGTCCTCACATCAGTGTGGTAATTGGCCGGTGGAGTGAAAAACTAGGAGGAAAGAGTGGACAACATGAGTGCCCTTAGAGTCATCTATTCCAGAATCCTCAGGTTCTAGACGCTCTCCAAGGCTCAGAATTGGATTGTAATGAGGAACATGCCCGGAATTCAGTTGGAAGAACTAAACCAAAACCTAGGCTCCCTCTCAGACTAACGGTCTTGCTCCTTCGCCACGCAACTTCTATGATCAGCCATTTTAAATGACTCTTGGTTTGCATATTCGTAAACAAGAGTTTAACAGCCTACTTTGTCTCCTTCACATTGTGTGGAGGATTCACTTAAACAGAAGAAAAAAGTCATCAAACACAATTCTGTAACCCTTTGGTTCTTCATTTCTAAGGCTACACGAGCAGCAGGAGGTGAAACAAACAAAATGGTCATTTAAAGGTTTTTTTCCCCCCGTGGGGAGAAAGGATAACAGGTGGACGGTTCCTGGCGTGTGGGGGTGGAACAGGACTGGAAAAGTTTAACTCCAAGCTCCTGAGGGGCTTCGAGCCTACGAAGAAGGGTATGAGCCCAAGGCGTCCTCAAGGGAGATCTTTGCCTCCCTCCTCTATCATCTGATGATGCGTCCCTGCTGGCCTTTCCTGCTCTCTTGGTTCCCACCATACCCTGGACACATGGCCTGGCCTGCTACCCAGGAGACTGGCCAGCCTTTGTTTTCAGGTGTTGGACTCTTCTATCTAGCAGCCTTGGCAGGGGTGCGCTCCAGGTAGGTCTCATCAACTCCATGGTTCTGTCCAACCCCTTCCTGTTGATTCCCCCCTCTTGCCTTCTCCGCCATGGTATGCCCCAGGACAAGATTAGACCGGCAGAGGGGCTTCACTAACAGACGCAGCCGCGGGGCAGCCAGTCAAGGACTGGAAAGGAGGTTAGGAATCAGGGTCCTGGGAGCCGCGGGGTTCTCTTACTGCCAGAATCCAGCCGCCAGCTCTCTTTATAGCGTAAGGCGGGTCTGGGGTGGAAGTTAAGGAGGAAGAGGATCATTTCCCGACTAGTTGAAGACGCCTAGTTTTGAGGAAGTTTCCTCTTCGAGCTTGGTCAGTCATGTGTAGGGTGCCTTCTGGCAAGTCGTCCATCTCTCGGCCTTGATTTTCTCTGCTACTTGCCCAACGCTAAACTTCTTTGATTTCAGGAAAGGCAGCCCCGTTAGTCCCAAGTTATCTTTGCCCCAAGGCTGTTTGAAGACCCTAGCTGTTCCGGTGAGAGGCCCCTTGAACCTTTGTCATTAACCTCCTCAACTGGGAGCAGCAGCATCAGTCATCAAGGCACACAGTGGCCGTTGAAGAGCCTTCCTCCCCCTCATCCCTGGGTCACAGCCAGATCTTACACCACCAACAGCTTGCTTTTTTCCCCCTCAGTTCCAGATAACATCAAGATGCCCAACATTGAGGAAACTGTGCTCCAGAGTGATTCCAGTGAAGCAGAGGGTGAGGTCCAGAAGCCTAAAACACCAGGGCAGAGCCAGGAAAACAAGAGCTTCTGTTCAGATAGCCACCGTCCTGGTAGGTCTAGAATTCTACCATCACTTCCTTGGGTAGTGCTTGATAACAGTTAGGTTAAAGGAATAGACAGCCTGTGGGTTAAGTGCCTTTAAAGAGCACAGAAGGCTCTTGCAACCTTGCATTTTTCCTTTCTCATCCTTCTGCTATTCCTCTTTTGGATTGTTCTTTTCCTTGTCTTTTTTCCCCTCTAATTTTTACATATGGGACCTAGGCCCCTGATTGGCAAGTACGATTAAAAGACATTTTGGCTCTTGAGAAAGAGGGTAACAAAGCACAATTACCTGTGTTTGACAAGACTTGGGAGTATTTGAGTTAGTTCAAAACACGGAAAATAGATTACATTCTTGTATTTTGATTTTGTAGATTGCAAATGGTAGATCTAGGATAGATTTGAGAGAATCCAAATTATCTAGTGCTGGAATTGTGTTCTGTCCTTTTCTGGGAGTATTTTGTTGACATAAAAATTATCACTGGTCTAGGGTAAAATTCTTCAGATCTGTAATAACTGTTTTTCTGTATACATAAGGGCGTGAGGTCTCTTCCACACCTGACGGTAGGCATTTATTTGAGGTTTTGGTTTGACTAGCCCAACCTCATGGGAACTCAAATTGCAGTTCTCTTACAATAATCTCCAGTGCACTTAACCAAACATCAATCTGAAGATCTGTCAAAGTGTAGTGACTTGATCTAAACTCTTGAAGACAGACGGGAAAAATAGTTGGAAACCACGATACTAAGTTGAATCACGTATGTTCCTCTGGTGGCCACTAAGGGTCACTGCTAGTTCATAGAATAGCACAAGTCTTGGTTCACAGTGTCTCTGAAATAAATGGTTTAGTGACTTGATATAGCTGGTATATTTTAACATATGTAGCTTTTCAGTTAGGGTAGAAAGGAGATGTCGACTGATGGTACTAACGTTTGTTGAAAGACTTTTTTAACGAGAAGTAAATGTACATAAGTAGACCATCTCCTTGGTGAGTTTTAGGATCCTTATATGTGAGTTTTATTATGTCTTGGGGATAAATAGTTCTCTCTGAACAAATTATGGAACTATATTGAAAGTGAGTGAGGAAATAGTTTTCTTGCATGTTTTGGTCGTATACCAAGTAAATAATTATAACTACTCTATGTGCTTACGATGTATCGCTCCTGTAAGTAATCTGCATAATGAACTCAGAACAGTGATTACCAAATTCCAAGCTAGTGTATGGAAAAGTTCTTACCAATCTTGAGTGAAATAAAACAAAGATATTGTAATCAGTTTTTAAAAATAAAGTTAAATCGATCCAATTGAAAGGATTACTGTATATTGACTTTATTTACCAACTTTCTGCCTTTTGGGATGTTAAAATCTACTTTTAAAATTAAGTGATTATTTTGGTGATGGTAAGGTGGATGTTTTCTTTGTTTGCCTTAATGTCAATATGTGGGAAAATAAAAATCAGCAAATCATTGTCAGTAACTCTTCTTTTTTGGACATTTTATTAGTCTGTGGAATCCCCAGATTTGAGAACCATGCTTGAAGCATGGTTCAACTTTAGAGCCCTCTAGGGGGATTTGTGGTGTTATCTGTAAAGAGACTCTCTTCTTGTGTATCTTCCTGTCTCTTCAGAGGTAGGAAGAGGATAGCGGAAACAGTAACTTTTTGATAAATGTTTATTTTATAAGACACAACTTATTCATGGTTTCTTTGCTGTGTTTTACTTATGGCTTTGACAGTCCAAAAAATGGTTTTGAAATCATTTTCACATTTTCCTTTTCGTAAACTAACTTCTCTTCTCCTCATGCCTGACTTCTCTAACTTTCTAGTGCTGTTGAAGGGCAAAGAGTTCAGAAGACCTCAAATACCGGAATGACTGAGTGAGTCTGAGTAAGATCTATTTGATGAATCTAAATTTGGGGGCCTTAATTGGCTGAGTGAATCTCTGAATAAAAGAAAAGTTCTATTTGTGTGGGTTCCCTGTTGATGATTGCTATACTTTTTTCTAGAGTGCCAACCTGAAGTGCTTTCTGTCACAGAGCTGATAGAGACAATTAAGGAAGTTTCCAAGCTTAGCATTGCTCATGAAATCGTGGTAAACAAAGATTTCTATATGGAAGAGAGTGTTTTACCTCCCAACAGGTACAGACTCTTGTCTTTTTTGTTCCATTTTACTCCTCCTGACATAGACACATAGCACAAATGACTTTTAATCATGTTTGAAGCATTTTCATTAATACAATTATTGTTTGAGTATGTCTTAACTGGTACCAACAAATAAAACAGAGGAGTAATCAGTGTAATTATTAGTTCCAAAGAGTCAGAGCAGAAAAATTATATTTACACAGGAAATAAACCAAAGTAATTATTGTCAGAATGTTCCTCTCGATATCCCAGTTAACAATGAAAGACACTTTGAATTTCAGGTCTTCTTAGACAGCTTTGGAGAAAGTAGCTCCTAGCAGTTACTCTTTTAATTGTCTACAAGTTATACAGGTACAGATGAAAAGATTACTTTTCTAATAGTGATATTGCCAACTCTTCACGGGATGAGATTTCAGGGAGCATTTCTGCTACATAATCAGCTTAATAAAGATCTGCAAACGAAGATCAGAACCTCGTTGATAAATAATGCCCCTCTAAAGTCAGACTTTACTCTGGTTCTTCTTAATTGTATTGCTATTGCAATGCTTAAATAAGAGTCATTCAGTAAGTACGAAATGACTGCTTCTAATGGTTTGTTAATAGTTAACTGGGTAAATTTCTCTGTTGAAACCTATATTGTATTGCATTTCTAGTTTCCCACCTTACATGCTTCTATTTTGCCATTTTAGGGATTCTATTGCTAAAGCACCTTGCTCTGTCAGTGTTTCTTTTGTTCTTCACACTCCTTAGTTTGCCCTTGCCTGTTGCCAACAGGTACTCATACCAGGCACAGCTTCCCTAAAGAAGGTTCTCACCAAAACACAGGTCTCCTAGCATCTTCCTCACCGCCTTCGCTGTCCTTGGACGCCGAGTTAGATTTATTTTTCTGCTGGCAGGGGTGCAGAGAAAGTGAAGCTTGGAGAGTGAAGGTCTGTTGAAGTGGCAGGGGGTCGTGGTGGCGATGAGAGGCAGATAAATGAAGCAGAGGAAATAATACTATTTAGAGCTTAGTTTTCATTGTTTTATTAACAGCCTTATTCTAGTGTAGTAGTGCAAAAAGGATACTGGGAAAGAGGTTGAAACAGAATTTGAGGTTATGTCTTATCTATAGATAATCAATGATTGGTTTTCCCCTTGGGCTTATAAAATGACACTAATTACAGCTAGAGATTCCTAAGAGAAATCTGATCTTCGTATCATTATTCAACAAATATTTATTGAGTACTTACTAGGAGGAGGGCAGAATTTTGAAGGCTGGAGACGTATAGATGAGTAAGATGCTGGCTTTGCTATCAAGAAGCTTCTGTAGGGGAGATTGTCAAATAGTAGATAGCTACTGTGCAATGATAAATTCTCTCACATCTAGTATATGGAGTTCTGTGTTTGTGCTCAGCATTCAGGAAGGCTTTCCTGATAAGACAACACTTGAGTCTTGGAGTATGAATAGGTGCTTTTCAAGTGGTCTAGCGAGGAAAGGATTCTCCTGGAAATGGAAATGACGTATCAGAGGCATAGAATGGTGGACGGTGATTATATATTCATTATAAGCAGATCGCTATTTTTGGAACACAGAGTGCTGGAAGGAGGAAGGCAATAAGGTAGGAGAAGTGGCAGAATAGGGTTATGATGGATCTTGGAGGTCATGTATCCTGCTGGTGATGGGGAGCCCCTAAAGGATTTTAAATGGGCGTGCCATCAGATTTGTATCTTAGAAAAAGAATTGATTTCAGTAAGAATATGTGGCATTGTGGGAGTAAAACTTTGTCAGGGCAGGCAGGCCATTTAATAGCATATTGCAATAGTCCAGGTGCGAGGTGATGGTAGATGGGGATGGATTCCAGAGATGTTTAAGAAGCAAAATCTCTGGAAGTTGGAAACCAAGTGGATAAAAGGAATGAGGGAAAGTGATTAAGAAGGTCTCCAGTGCACACGAGATAAATAACAGTTGGTGACATCTCACAGGTGGGATTGGTGTGTTGAGGGAGGAACTTTGATGTTTTTTTCATTTATCTTTGTATTGCTTGTAAAATGTTTAACAAAGGCATACGTTACTATAGTATTTTTTTATTGAGATTATGATAGTTTACAACCTTGTGAAATGTCACTTGTGCATTATTGTTTGTCAGCCGTGTTGTAGTGCACCGCTTCTCACTTTGTGCCCACCCCCCACTGCCCCTTTCCCCTGGTAGCCACTAATCTGTTCTCTTTGTCTACGTGATTAACTTCAACATATGAGTGGAGTCATACAGAGGTTGTCTTTCTCTATCTGGCTTATTTCACTTAACATAATACCCTCAAAGTCCATCCATGTTGTCGTGAATGGGATGATTTTATCCTTTTTTATGGCTGAGTAGTATTCTATTGTATATATATACACCATATCTTCTTTATCCAATCATCAGTTGATGGGCACTTAGGTTGCTTCCACGTCTTGGCTATTGTAAATAATGCTGCGATGAACATAGGGGTGCATGGGACTTTTGGAATTGCTGATTTCAAGTTCTTTGGATAGATTCCCAGTAGTGGGATGGCTGGGTCATATGGTATTTCCCTTTTTAATGTTTTGAGAAATCTCCATACTGTTTTGCATAGGGGCTGCATGAGTTTGCATTCCCACCAGCAGTGTATGAGGGTTCCTCTTTCTCTGCAAGCTCTCCACCATTTGTTCCTTTTTGTTTTGGTTATTTTTGCATTCTAATGGGTGTAAGGTGCTATCTTAGTGTAGTTTTGATTTGCATTTCCCTGATGATCAGTGATGATGGACATCTTTTCATGTGCCTGTTGGCCATCCGTATATCTTCTTTGGAGAAATGTCTGTTCATGTCTCCTGCCCATTTTTTGATCCAGTGGTTTGGTTTTTCGTTGTTGAGTTGTGTGAGCTTTTTATATATTATGGAGATTAACCCTTTGTCAGATATACGACTTGAAAATATCTTTTCCCAATTAGTGGGATGTTTTTCTGTTTCCATCCTGTTTTCCCTTGCCTTGAAGAAGTTCTTTAGTCTGATGAAGTCCCATTTGTTTATTCTTTCTATTGTTTCTCTTGTCTGAGAAGACATGGTGTCCGAAAAGATCCTTTTAATACTGATGTCAAAGAGTGTACTCCCTGTGTTTTCTTCTAGAAGCCTTATGGTTTCAGGTCTTACCTTTAGGTCTTTGATCCATTTTGAGTTTATTCTTGTGAATGGTAAAAAAGAATGGTCAATTTTCATTCTTTTACATGTGGCTGTCCAGTTTTCCCAGCACCCTTTGTTGAAGAGACTTTCTCTTCTCCATTGTAGGCCCTCAGCTCCTTTGTCGAAGATTAGCTGTCTATAGATGTGTGGTTTTATTTCTGGGCTTTCAATTCTGTTCCATTGATCTGTGCACCTGTTTTTGTACCAATACCATGCTGTTTTGATTACAGTAGCTTTGTAGTATGTTTTGAAGTCAGGGATTGTGATGCCTCCAGCTTTGTCCTTTTTTCTGAGGATTGCTGTAGCAATTCGGGGTCATTTGTTGCCCCATATGAATTTTAGGATTCTTTGTTCTATTTCTGTAAAGAATGTCATTGGGAATCTTATTGGGTAGCATTGAATCTGTAGGTTGCTTTAGGTAGAAGGGACATTTTAACTATGTTTATTCTTCCAATCCACCTGCATGGAATGTCTTTCCATCTCTTTAGGTCGTCATCAATTTCTTTCAGGAAAGTCTTGTAGTTTTCGTAGTATAGGTCTTTCACTTCCTTAGTTAAATTCACCCCAAGGTATTTTATTCTTTTTGTTGTGATTTTGAATGGTTTTGTGTTCCTGAGTTCTTTTTCTGTTAGTTCGTTATTAGAGTACAGAAATGCTACTGATTTATGTAAGTTGATTTTATACCCTGCAACTCTGCTGTAGTTGTTGATTATTTCTAATCGTTTTCCAATGGATTTTTTGTTGTTTTCCAAATATATAAGATCATGTCATCTGCAAACAGTGAGAGTTTCACTTCTTCGCTCCCTATTTGCATTCCTTTTATTCCTTTTTCTTGCCTAATTGCTCTGGCCCAAACCTCCAGTACTATGTTGAATAAGAGTGGTGATAGAGGGCATCCTTGTCTCATTCCTGTTCTCAGGGGGATGGCACTCAGTTTTAGCCCATTGAGTATGATGTTGGCTGTGGGTTTGTCATATATGGCCTTTATTATGTTGAGGTAATTTCCTTCTATCCCCATTTTGTTAAGACTTTTTATCATAAATGGCTGTTGGATCTTGTCAAATGCTTTCTCTGCTTCTATTGAGATGATCATGTGGTTTTTAATCCTCAATTTGTTGATGTGGTGTATCACACGGATTGATTTGCAGATGTTGAACCATCCCTGTGTCCCTGGTATGAATCCCACTTGATCATGATGTATGATCCTTTGACGTATTGCTGAATTCAGGTTGCCAAAATTTTGTTGAGAATTTTTGCATCTGTGTTCATCAGTGATATTGGCCTGTAGTCCTCCTTTTTTGTGCTGTCCTTGTCAGGCTTTGGTATCAGCGTGATGTTGGTTTCGTAAAATGTGTTAGGACGTGTTCCATCCTCCCTAATTTTTTGGAATAGCTTGAAAAGGATAGGTATTAAATCCTCTCTGAAAGTTTGGTAGAATTCCCCAGGAAAGCCATCTGGTCATGGGGTTTTATTCTTTGGGATGCTTTTGATTGCTGTTTCAATCTCTTTCCTTGTGATTGGTCTGTTCAGGTTGTCTGTTTTCTTCTTGGCTTAGCTTTGGGAGGTTGTAAGAGTTTAAGAATTTATCCATTTCCTCTAGGTTATCCATTTTGTTGGCATATAGCTTTTCATAGTATTCTCTTATAATCCGTTGTATTTCTGTGGAGTCTTGTTATTTCTCCTCTTTCATTTCTGATTTTGTTTATTTGAGCTTTCTCTCTTTTTTTCTTTGTTAGTCTGGCTAGGGGTTTGTCAATTTTATTTATCTTCTCAAAGAACCAGCTCTTTGTTTCATTGATCCTTTCTACTGCCTTTTTTGTTTCAATAGCATTTGTTTCTGCTCTGAATTTTACTATTTCTCATCTGCTGACTTTGGGCTATGTTGGTTCTTCTTTTTCTAATTCAGTTAGGTGTAATTTGAGATTGCTTATTTGGGATTTTTCTTGTTTGTTAAGGTGTGCTTGTATTGTGATGAATTTCTCTCTTAATACAGCTTTTGCTGCATCCCATATGAGTTGGTATGGCATGCTATCGTTTTCATTTGTCTCCAGATATTTTTTGATTTCTTCTTTAATTTGTTCAATGATCCATTGCTTGTTCAATAGCATATTGTTTAGTCTCCACATCTTTGTCCTTTTCTCAGCTTTTTTCTTGTAATTAACTTGTAGCTTTATAGTATTATGATCAGAGAAGATGCTTGTTATTATTTCAATTTTTTTAAATTTGTAGTGGCTTGCCTTGTTTCCCAACATATGGTCTGTCCTTGAGAATGTTCCGTGTGCACTGGAGAAGAATGTGTATTCTGCTGTTTTTGGATGGAGTGTTCTATATATGTCCATTATGTTCAACTGTTTTAGCTTTTTGTTTAATTCCACTGTTTCCTTGTTGATTTTCTGTCTGGATGATCTGTCCAACAGTGTGAGTGAGGTGTTGAGGTCCTCTACTATTATTGTGTTATTTTTGATATCTTCTTTTAGGTTTGTTAATAGCTGCTTTATGAACTTTGGTGCTCCTGTGTTGGGTGCATAGATATTTGTAAGCATTATTTCTTCTTGATGTAGTGTCCCTTTGGCATACTACTCAGCCATAAGAAATGATGAAATCCAGCCATTTGTGACAACATGGATGGTCCTTAAGGGTATTATGCTGAGTGAAATTATTCAGCGGGAGAAAGTCAAATACCTTACGATCTCACTCATAAGTAGAAGATAAAAACAATGAGAAAGAAAGGCATAGCAATGGAGATTGGATTGGTAGTTCCCTTTGATCATTATATGTTGCCCCTCTTTGTCTCTCTTTACCTGCCTTATCTTGTAATCTACTTTTTCTGATATAAGCATTACAACACCTGCTTTCTTTTGTTTGCCACTAGCTGGGAGTATCATCTTCCACCCCTTCACTCTGAGCCTGTATTTGTCATTGGAGCTGAGATGTGTTTCCTGGAGGCAACAAATTATTGGATCTTGTTCTTTACTCCATCTTTCCGCTCTGTGTCTTTTTACTGGAGAGTTCGATCCTTTTACGTTGAGGGTGATTATTGATGTATGAGGACTTAATGCTGTCATTCTGTCACTCGTTCTCTGGTTTTCCTGCATTTCCTTTGTTTCTTGTCCTGTGTGTTTTGGTGTACCCATTGATTTCTGCAGTTTCTTATTCTGTGTTTCTTAGTTTTTTCCTTATTTACTTTTTGTGTCTCTGTTCTGCTTTTTAGTTAAGTGGCTACCCTGAAGTTTGTATTCAGAATGTCATGCATACCATAGTCCATTTTCTGATGCCTTCTTATTTCCTTACTCTCAACTTACTCAGTTCCTTTCCTCCTCCCCTCCTAAGTTAGAATTCTCCTATCTTATTTCAACTTGTGTTGTGAGTTGGTGATTAAAGTGACAAGGTTGTCTTTGTTTTTGGTGTTTTCCTTCCCTTTATCCTAATGCTATAGTTGAATATTTGCTATCCTATTCTGATTCTATGTGTCTCCCTACTCTGTGTTTTGTGACCCCTTTCTCCCTTTTTTTCTGTTTTCAGGTATGAGGACCTTCTTGAGAATTTCTTGTGGGGGAGGGGGGGTCTCATGGCAATGAAGTCCCATAGCTTTTGTTTGTCTGGGAAAGTTTTAATTTCTCCCTCATATCTGAAGGATATTTTTGCTGGATAGAGTATTCTTGGCTGAAGATTATCTTTTAAAGTTTTGAATATGTCATTCCATTCTCTCCTAGCTTGTAAGGTTTCTGCAGAGAAATCTGCTGAAAGTCGGAGAGAGGTTCCTTTGTAGGTTATTTTCTTCTGCCTTGCTGCCCTGAGTATTCTTTCTTTGTCATTCATTTTTGCCAGTTTTACTACTATATGCCTTGCAGTAAGTCTTTTTACATTGATAAATCTAGGAGGGCTGAAAGCTTCCTCCACACATATTTCTCTCTGATTCCCTAGATTTGGGAAGTTCTCTGCTATTATTTCTTTGAGCATGCTTTCTGCTCCATTTTCTTCTCTTCACCTTCTGGGAATACCTGTAATTCTTATGTTGCATTTCCTCATTGAGTCAGATATTTCTCAGAGACTTTCTTCATTCCATTTCAGTCTCAGTTCTCTCTCCTCCTCTGTCTGGAGCAATTCAAGATGTCTGTCTTCGATTGTGCTGACTCGCTCCTCTATGGCGTCCACATCAGCATTCAGCGAATCTGTATCTTGTTTTATCGCTTCTGTTTTGTCTTTCATCTCTAGTATTTCTGATTGATTCTTCTTTACAGTTTCAATCTCTTTTGTGAAGTAGCTCCTGAACTCATTGAATTGTTTCTCTGTATTCACTTTTACCTCATTGAGTTTTTTGACGATAGCTCTTCTGAATTCATTGTCGTTTAGTTTACTCATTTCTGAGTCTTCAGGACAGAATTCTGTGTGTGTATTTTCTCTCTGGTCTGGAGTTTTGATGAACCTTGATGCTAGAGCTACGTGTTTTTCCCATTGTGATATTATGTGGTTGCCATTACAGCCTATCGCCACTGGGTGGGGGTCGAGAGTCATATATTTTGAGCCCCCCCTCCCTTCAGGTGAGATGGCGTGGCACAGTGTGGGCGAGGGGAGGGGGCCATTTTCTCTAGCAGGCAGTGCCCGGTTTCTGGATCAGCTCGCCCTGTCTGGTCTGGTCTCCTGGCTTCCTGGCTTGATGAGGTCACCCCACATGAAGGCTTTTGCCCAATAGAGGGCTTCCCTCTAGGCTGCAAGGGCGCTAGGGAGTCCTGGGTGATCCTACGGTCACACAACCCATCCCCCACTCCTTCCCTCATGGATCCTCCCGCGGCAGCAATCCCAGTCTTTAGAGGAGGAAGAAAAGTTCTCTCTTACCCCATTCCAGCTCCTCCGAGGGGGATTCCAGCCTCTCTGCCCTCCGTCGTTTGGCTGCTGTGACTCTCCGAGGATTCCTGTGCTATTACGATATTTCCTGTTGGAATGTGGCTGCTCCTTTTTGTTATATGTTAGAGGGGAGAGAGTCCCAGGAAAGCTCACTCCACCATGATGCTGACATCACCCTTCACTGTTGTATTTTTTAAGAGGAAAAGGGCTAAGCTTTCTGGTTTGCAAGAACAAGGAACAAGTTTAAAAGGGGAAGATTTTATGAATTCAGTTTCAGCTTGCTGAGTTTAAGGTCCACGTAAAACTTTTAAGATGGGTGCACGTTACCAAAAAGAAAAATCCTTTCCTGGATTTCAAGACTGAAGGGAAAAGATCACCTAGTTCAAAAGTCTAAGTCTATGGACTAAAGGCACACGTTTAGGTAGGGTGCAGAACCAAGGCTAGGACTCAGGGGCTCAACCCCTAGTTCATGGTTCTTCCTACTGCAGGAGGAGAGCTTTTCTGGAACCATGAGGTACCCTTCTGAGAAGATTTGGCCAATGCCTTCGTATCCGAGACTAAACTCAGTTTATTCAACTCTGCTCATGTTTAAACACAGCTCCTGGCTTGTCAATCTAATGGTCTTTGATGATCTTAAATGCTGTTCGGGATTTAGGAGATTATGATCCTATATCAGTTCTCATGGTAAAGAGCAATTTGCTCATTTAACCTTCTTATAGTCTGGAAGGCAGGTTCGTGGACACAGTGTACAAAGCTTTTTGGGACCATCTGAAAGAGCAGCTATTGAGTACTCCCCCTGACTTCACGTGTGCTCTTAAACTTCTAAAAGAAGTTAAGGAGGTGAGTAACCAACCTCCCGTTTGTAGATGGTGTTTCTGGGCATCTCAGACCTTTGGGTTCTTGATGGCTACCAATATCCTAAGTAGCATACTTCCTTTCTGAACATGGCCCACTCCTTAAATAGATAATATGGAGAAGCTTCCGTTTTATTTGTATGAGAAGAAGCTTGAAAGTTGGGATCTTGTTATAACAACATGGTTTATCATTCAATTAAATATTTTCACTGAATCCTCACTATGTTTCATGTGTTTCAGAAGCACATAGATGCATAAGAGAGCCCTTGCCCACAAGCAACTTATACTTTCGAGTCAAAAGGCTGTTTTAAGTGACCCTTAATGGTTGCTTTTCCTATTTCATCATTTCCCTTTGAAGTAAAACAGTCTAAAGATGTCCTTATCCCTTATTAAGCTTGTCTCATCACCTTGTGGTGGTGTCTTTTATATTTTATATATTGTTTTAATTTTATGTTTTTATATCCTCCACTTCCTTTATCACACTCTTGTTTTTATTCATACCTTTATCTCATTCTGCTCAGAAAATAATACGGCACTACTGTTATTACTGATTCCAATGAAGCCTTGAATTATATTTGGCCCCTAAACCGAGAGAGATAATAAATATTCTCTATAAGAAATTTAGAGACCTAGTTTCTGGACCCCCAGAAAGACACAGGCTGGGATACCTTTGTCTTAAGAGGGTTGTTTATTGGGGAATGTTTGAGGTTCTAAACAGCTTGGCTCTATTGATTTTCTTTTCTGGGAAGATCTTGCTATCACTGCTATTACCACGCCAGAACCGCCTAAGAAATGAGGTGGAAGAAGCTCTGGACATGGATCTCCTCAAGCAGGAAGCAGAACATGGGGCCCTGGATGTCCCTCATCTCTCTAACTACATTCTTAATTTGATGGCCCTGCTATGTGCACCAGCCCGAGATGAAGCAGTGCGCAAACTAAAGAGCATAACAGATCCTGTGCAGTTACTGAGGTGAGAAACTAAATGTACTGTCCCTGAAATCTGCCTTAGACATGGTGCCAAAAAACTCGGGGCCAGATACTGTGTTAGAGCCCCTGCCTTGTCTAGCTCTTCTGTGCTGAAAAACTGACTAATACCTCTTTTCTTCCTCCCTGGACTAGTGGCTTTTATTTTCTGAGGACAGTCTCTCAGGGCCTGTCTGATGATCTTTAGGTCATTTGGACCCCTATTAAGAAATGCTGTTAAGACATTAGAGCACAGTAATTCTTTCTTCTAGAGATTCCAAACAGCCCTTTTCCAGATGTTCTCCTACGTGTCCTAACTCAAACCCTGTGAGGGGACATGAATGAGGATTATCTCTGTTTCCCAGTTAGAAGAACCAAGACCCAGAAAGGTAAAGTGATATGCCCAATGATTTAGAAATTCAATCACCATCATTCCAACTACCTACAGATAGCTGTTGGGACTTTGGTCATTTTCCTTCCACTGACTACCCTTTTTGCTGAGAAGACAGAGTGGCTACGGTGGAAAGAGCTCTGGACTGGTAACTAAAAAGGCAGAAGATGTCTCTGTCCGTAGCTTTGCCAGCAGCTCACTCTGTGGCCTTGGGTCCCTGGCTACTGTGTCTTTATTTGTAAATCGAAGTAGGGTTGTTGTTTTTAAGGCCCCTTTTCACTCTAAAGTCAACAATTTTAGGACTCCTCGCTTGGCTTCCACCCCTCTGCACCAGATTTCCTTTCATAGTGTAAATATTTGATTTCTCTCTATGACAGGGGTATCTTCCATGTTCTGGGCCTGATGAAAATGGACATGGTAAACTATACCATCCGGAGTCTTCGACCTTACCTGAAGGAACATTCCGTCCAGTATGAACGAGCTAAATTCCAGGAGCTCCTCGACAGGCAGCCCAGTAGGTTTAAAATTTAAAGGCAGGAGAGGGAAGATTTGACCTTGGATCTGCCCTCTTACAGTGATAGAGTATTTTGTATTTTCTGCTTAGAAAATTTCTTCCTTGGGTAAGGGATAGGGAGAAGGAGCGTTTCTCTAAGACAGAAAGACCTAGAAAATCACTTCTTTATTGACCTAGAGAGTATCTTAAAGCCTTCCTCTTGGAGTCTTGGAGTTTGAAGATACTCACATGTTCCCTTCTATGTCATAGATCTCCTTGAATGCACCACAAAATGGCTAACCAAAGCAGCAGCAGACATCACTCCACCATCTTCGAGTTCTCCTGACTCTCCCGGCTCCTCCACTATGGCCTGTGCACTTCCAAATTGGGCAGCTGACAACTCGGAGCTCCCCAGTCCCACAATGGTGCTATACCAGGGTTACCTGAACCTTCTTCTCTCGGATTCTGACAAGGAAGAATTCCCTGAGGTAGGAATGTGTGTTAGAGCATTGCCTTTTGGTTTTGTTTTCAACAACTTCACTAGAACCCTTTTCTCCTGGCAACCTGCTTTTCCGTGCTTCACCAGACTTTGCTGATGGACAGAATCCGGCTGCAGGAGATGGAGTCCCAGTTGCGCCAGTTAACCATCCTGACCTCAGTCTTGCTAGTGGCCAGAAGTTTCTCTGGTAATGTTTTATTCAACTCACCTGAATTTGTGGATAAACTGAAATGCATAACCAAGGCCCTGACAGAGGAATTTAACTCCAGGTAAGCTTCATAGATCTTTCTTAAAGTTGAAACTAGTATGTGGTCTTTGGCACACAGGCAGGTAATGTAGTATGGCTTCTACTTCATCACAAACCACACAAAGGACTTTGGGAACGATCTGCAAAGATTGCTGATGTCTTGTGATAAGTTCTATTGAGGCTTGGGATAGAAAAAATAAAACTTCTTTCCAAAGAGCAGAGTGTGGCTAGTTTGCTACAAACGATTCATTATGTTTGCTAAGAATGGGTCCTTATGTACTTGAATGGGTGACTGATTTGTGTATGTATAACTGGAAAGTGATCCATTGGTCGGTAACCGATTGATCATTCGCTGTATGCAGGGCACCATAACCAAAGTAAAAAGAGGATTTAGAAGTCCAAGTCTCTATGTATTTTCAATTTAATTGGCAAGGTAGGAAAAAAAGCCATGGAAAATACCAAAGGAAATCTTAAAACAATATTTAGATCAAATTTATGGGACTAAAGAGTACTGAATGGGTCCAAGGATGGAGCTGAACCCTTGTCCAGTTTGTCTTGTGTTCTTTGAAGCAGAATATAGTACTGTATGCACGAATTAGCTGGAACCTTGAGGGTAGCTATGAAGGTATTTCACCTACACACTGGGTCCTGTTGTTTAATCATGGTGGGGAGCTGAAATTCGCCTTTGAGTGGATCTGGCTTCTGCTCCGGGGCTCTCTGGCTTTGCCCTTCTGCCAGGGCCACTTTGCTTTCTGTCCTTCATTTCCAGGCCTGAAGAGGCTATGCTGAGTGTGAGTGAACAAGTGTCTCTGGAAATCCAACAAGGCCTCAAAAGCATGGGTCTCTCTGCCCTGAGCAGCAAAAACACAGCATCTCTTACAGGCCAACTCCAGAACATTGCCAAGAAGGAGAACCGTGTTCGTACCATCATTGGTAAGAGTCTCATGGTGGTGGTGGGGAGGGATGGCAAGAATTTGGAGGGTGCGCAGGTAGCCTCAACCCTGAAAGTCAGTTACAGAACCATTTAAAAATGGAAAAGCATGATCATTGGGAAAATGTTTTGGCTTTAGTTTCCTTATCTATAACGTGCAGGGTTGAAGTAGATTTCTTCCAGTTTGAAGAGTGAATGTATGGTTTTAAGGTGGATCTGCAGCTAGGATATATAACTTGCAGGTGTGAGATACTGTCCCACCAACCCTACTGAGTCACCCCTGATCATTCTCTACTTGTAGTCCAAGACCTATGTTGGGAAACCCTGTCTCTATGCCATGCTTTAAGTTACCACGCAGGCCCCTACTCCTCTCCGAGGAACTGATGCTGTCTTAGACTGTAGAACATGTTCCATGCTGGAGGGGAAGCAGTGAACTTGGCCAGCTTGCTTCTAACTTTTGCATCTTAACATGGTCAGATTTGGGTGTGTGGGCCTGAACTTGGCATACTGGCTGCAATGTGTGCCCTTGGAATTTCAGGTACAGTGTCTAGGATCCTCTTGTTAGGTCAGATGCACACCAGGAGCTCACTTGGAGCCACGTAATCTTATGAACAGCCAGAAATTTACTAGCTCAACATCTTTTGATCGTGCACTGTCTTTGGGAGCTTGACAGCATTCGCTCTTCCAAAACACAAGGAACAAATCTCATTTATACGATTTACCCAAATGAGTGGGTTGGTCAGTGAGTATCTCAGTTAACTTAAACTTTGATGAGCAGAGAGTGCAAAGGGCAATGTGAATTTCTCCTGAAACCTCTTTGATCTTCCTCTTTTCATTGTTTTTGCTTGCTCACAGATCAGCGGATCCGTTTGTTTCTCAAATGCTGTTTGGTCCGTGGCATGCAGGAATCTCTGCTAGACTTCCCTGGAGGCCTTATTCTCATCAAGGGGGAGTTGGCAGACCTGGGCTGGAAGTTTGTCAATCTGATGCGTCACAATCAGCAGGTATATAGCCCCTACTATGCTGAAATCCTAAAAAATATCATCCCTCCGGCTCAGGCAGGAGAAACAGAAGTGGAATGTCTCTGATAATGCTGGACCCCAGCTGTGGCAACAAGGACCCAGGAGAGAGGGCTCAGCCTGTTCCTGGGATGACGTCACCTATGGCCAGCAGAGCAACCAGTCCTCTTCCTAACTACAGCCAGAACACATGGCTTCAGCGTTCAAGCATGTAAACACCAACTGGCCCAATCCCCTTCGTTAATAAACTTCTGAGCTGCAAGCAAACCTCAGTTCCTTCTGTGCTGCAACTGAATCCAGCTTCTGTGGCATTATCCTTAACTAGCTGTGAAGCCCGTGAGCCCTCAGTTTTCACTTCCCTGGCTGATCATTCTTCAGTATTCTGGCTTGGGCAGGCATCAAGTGCTAGCATTATTTTCCCCAATGGAAAATCATTTCCGTGAGGCCTATAAAAACTTTGTAGTGTTACCCAGAGCGTGAGCATGAGGGCTTCTGGAAGTCAGAAATTCACTGAGTTATAGATCAAGAGAAGACACAGAATCCAACTTCCTGTACCAAATCTTTCCGTAATTTTGGAGGATGCAGCAGTAGTAAGAGGCCCCATCTCCTTTGCTGGTGTGTGGCATAAACAGTATGAAAACTGGGGACCGGATGAAAGTCCACATTGTCTGCTAACAAGCACTGAGTTGAGAACAGTTCTCAGCCTCCATGGGATTGTTTTCCCTCTCCCTCTCAAGTGATCTTGGGGGTCAGGGTTGGAGTCCCTGATAGTGACACCAAATCCGAGCTGTTAGGTCAGTGGCCGACTCATGTCAAGTTCATCCTTGGTCCTGTTCTATAGCTGAACGATTCTCTGTTTTCATATTTCTAGGTTTAGAGCATCCCGTGATTCTTGACAGAAGTTATGTAGGTGTTCAAGGGTGGGGCAGCCACCATGCTTCTTCCCACTTGCAGTCTGGAATTCTAACTGCCAGATTATGATTTTCAGCTCTGTCGGCATCACGAATGACAGATGTTCTGGGTACACGAGAACCTGGGCTTGTTTTCTGAGACTGTAGAGATTCTTCCACTCCTTCTCAAGCCAACTGCAATAGACCAACCGCAACCTAAGAAATTAGGGAAAATGTCAGTTTGGATTTGAACTTGTTTGGAATGGACAGGAGAAAAGAGAAATTTACTTAAGGAATATTATAACTGGGTGAAAAAAAATGTCCTCACCATTTCAGGGGATGAGAAGAGCTAAGTATAATTTACTTAACCCAAGAAGAGTAACAGATCGGATTTGAGTTTCCTTTGTCCCAGGACAATTTCTTTAGAGGGTGGATCCCAGGTGGTTGACACAGCTAGGTGAATAGAGTGATACTTTTACTTTGGCCGGATGTAGGGTACACAGAGAAACTGGGGAATGGATCATTCAAGGGTTTTAATCTTGTGATTTAGATAGTTTCAGGAAAGAGACTAAGGCTGGTGAATGTGGTGTATTGAATAAACAGGCAGCGAAATTTGTCTAGTTGAATTTTCTAATCTGATTGCCAATATTAACACAATTTTTTTTTAAACATTAATTTTGGAAGCCTGATTATCTTATAGAAAAATGTGCTCTGAAGGAACCCCTGTGGAGATGACTGAGCAGGTGGTGGATACAGACATTGGATGAAATGAAAATTTACTTTCTGCTTTATAATTGAAGTTTGGCATGATTGATTTCTTCGAGATTCTGAGTTGGCTCTCTATCTCCACATAGAGACGATAGTGATGAGGATTTTTAGGCTGCTTAATGTTAAAACGGTTTATGATGAGGATTTTTAGGCTGGTTACTTTTAAAACTGCAGATGAGAAGCAGGCTCTGAGGACTGGAATTTTGCTTGCCCTTTTGAGAGACATTTGCGTTTGTGAAGGAAGGGGGGATGACCTTGTAGGGACCTGAAATTGGCCACCCCAGGATGTGTCTCTTTGGCATCGGGACTGTTTGGGGCTGATTGCTTTTGATAACAGGGACAGGGAAGGAGGCTCTGGGGAATGGAACTTGCCCTTGTTGGGACACATTTACATTTGTAAGGTAAATATCTGTAAAAGGTGCCTCCCTCTCTGTACCAGGAAGAAGAAGAGAGATGACCTGATCCCTAGAAACTCTTAATGGGGAAGGCAAGAACTTAAGTTGGTTGCTGTCTGGCAAGCTCATGTAACTGACTTAGGGTGGTGGCTTCTGACCTTTACTTAATCCGATTTGATTCTTGTCTAAAAGTCATGGGATCAGCCAACGACCAGACCCCACCTGCACTGATACCATTTTAACTTTTTTTCATGTTCTTTCCTTTGTCTTGTAAAGAAATGATTCACATACCCATGCCTTATAAAATTAGCCCTAACCCTCAACTCGGGGCAGCAGCAGGAGCTCTGACTGCCCGTGGGTCCTGTCCCCACGCACCAGCTCTGCCTGCCCATGGGTCCTGTCCCCATGCCAGCGGGGGCAGCAGCAGCAGCGGCAGCAGAAGCTCTGACTGCCCATGGGTCCTGTCCCCATGCTATTCTATTCTCTAAATAAAAGAGCACTACTGCCAGATCTTGAGAGTCCAAGAAATCTTTCTTTCGACTCCTCGGCTCACCGACCCCGCATCAGATAGGAATCTTAATCCTAAACAAGGAAAAGCAGCTCCATTCAGTCCTGCTCACCGTTTAGGGGGAAAAAAAGAATATATATAAATTGGTAGTACATGCACATGATTAAAAAAGATATATGGTGAAAAGTCAATTTCTTCCCTACCCCTATGTCTCATTTCCCTACCCAGAGGAAAGCAGTGTTGCCAGATTTTTGTGTATCCTTCCAAAGATAGTCTATGCAAATGCAAGGACGTATTATAATAATAGATAACGTTTATGAGCACATGTGTGCCAGGCACTCTTTTAATCTCTCTCTCTATATGATTTCATTTATTCCTCCACAGTTTATCTCCAGTGTTAGTGCACTGTGGCACAAGAAGCTCTAATTGGGAGTTAAACCTGTTTTCTGTTTGTCTTCTCTGGCTGAGTAAGGGAAAATCTTTTCACTTTTCTGGGATTTTATTTTTCATCTGTAAAATTGTGTATTGGAATAAATCAGTGATTTTATTGTTTAATCCTGTCCAGTCATTTTTTTTTAAAAATGAAATATTTCCATAAGGCCATGAGTGAGATAAAAACTGAACAGCTTCGCTTAAAGCAGAGCTGGAACAAGTAGTTTTGAGGATTGTTTGAAAACCATTGGACTAGATGATCTCTAAAGATACCTCTGTTGTTTTCTTATGGCTGCTGTAACAAATGGCCTCAAACTTGGTGGCTTAAAACAACCTGCTTTTATTCTCTTGTAGTCCTGGAAGTCAAGTTCAAAATCACCTTTACTGGGTCAAAACAAAGGTATTGGCAGGGCCACCCTCCCTCTGGCAGCTCTAGGGGAAAATTGGTTGACTTGCCTTTTCTACTTCGAGTGCTGCATTCTTGTATTCCTTGGCTCCTCCATCCTCCAAACCAGCAGCATAGCTTCTTGCTTCAGTCATTGTGTTGCCTTTTTCTCCTGCGTGAAATCTCCCTCTCCCTTCCTCTTAATAAGAACACTTATTATTTCATTTACTGCCCACCAGGATAATCTCCCCTTCTCAAGACCCTTAACCTAATCCTATCTGCAAAGTCCTTTTTGCCAAGTAAGATTACATTCACAGGTTCCAGGGACCAGGACATGAATATCCTTGGAGGCCATTTGTCAGCTTACTATAGTCTGCCTTCTGACCCCCAAGGATTTATATCCATCCTACACGCAAAATACACTCACCCCGTCTCAATAGTACCCAAATCTCAACACGTGGCATATCAATTCAAGCCCAAAATCTCATCTGTAAATCATTTTATCAGGTCTGCAAGAAACCGGGTAGGATCCTCCCTGGGGCAGAATTTCTCTCCATAAGTAGACCTGTGGACTAGAAAAAAAATTAGTTCCTCCCAAATTGCAGTGGTGGAATAAGCAAAGGATAATAGTTACTGACATTCCCACTGCAAATGGGAGAAAATGAAGAAAAGAGTTTCAGCTCCAAGTAATCTTGAAATCCAACCAGGCAAATTCCATTAGGCTTCAAGGCCTGGGAATAATCCTCTGTGGCTGGAGGTTTTGCCCTCTGCACCTGAGGCTCCACCCTTTACACCCAAGACTCTGTCCGCAGAGTCACCCTCCATTTTTCTTGGAGGATGGTGAATGTTTGCGGCTGAGTACTTTTATCAGCCTGTGTCCTACCTGTAGAATTTTAGGAGTCCCACAGCCGCCTTTTATTTGATTTTCTCTCTGTCTCATTCACTTGAAGTTGGCAGTGTTCCTGCTGATAGAACATTCTCGAAATGCTTGTGAGTCTACTGTGTATGAGTCAAGGACCCCATTTGACTGGAGGATCTTTCACAGATCTTTCCTGGATAATCCTATCTCTATTCCTGGATTCTGCTGAGATGGTCGAGGGGATCCATGAGTCACATGTTTAATCTCCTCAAAGAGCCCTCTGTGTGAGTGAATATTCTGATCTTTTCATCCTCCCGAAGCTCTAGCAAAAGGGTGTCCAGCCACACCCTTGGCTTTCCCTTTAGGGCATACTGTATCTCTTGATTTTAGCATCTTTTGTAATCTGAATAGGCTGAAAATTTCCCAAATTATGAAGTCCTGGTTCCTTTATGTCTAACAGTTCTTTCCTCAAATTATGTCTTTCCTCTTGTCTTTTTACTAAAAGCAGCAAGAAGAAATCAAGCCACACCTTCAGCAGTTTTACTTGGAATCCTCCTCAAATAAATTATCAAGTTCATCCCTTACAAGTTCTGCTTTCTACACAAATATCGGACACAACTGAGCTAAGCTTTCTGCCACTTTATAACAAGTTGACCCTTTCCTCTAGTTTCCAAAAACATATTCCCTGTTTCCTTCTGAGCCCTCACCAGCAGTGCCTTTAACATCCATACTTCTACCAAAAGTCTGTGACAATTGAGGTATTCTCTAAAATGATGCAGGCTTTCTCTGCTGTGCAAGTCAATCCCTCCTGTTATATTTTTCACTGAGATATACTTCACAAACATAAAATTCTCCATTTTGAAACATGCAATTCAAAGGTCATCAGTATAGTCATTATGCTGTACAATCATCACCACAATCTAATTCAAGAACATCTCCATTATCCTGAAGAGAAACCCGGTACCTATTAGCTGTCAGTCCCAATTCCCTGTTGCCCTCATCCTTGGCAACTACTAATCTGCATTTGCAGGGGCTCCTCTGTGAGCTGTGTTCCCTATGGCCCCATCGTGGCTTAGCCCTGGGATAAGCCTAGCAAGCAAAGGGAGTACAGCACTGTGGCTGACAATTGTCTATCTTATGCTGGAGTGGCAGTAGTCTTCCCAAGGCAAGAAACTCAGCAGTGGGGTAAGTAGTTAGAGGACAGTTTATCTGAAAGGCAAGCTGTCTGGAAGTGTGAGAAGACTTACTTTGCATGCAACCTCACCCCAAGACCTTGAATCCCAGAGCTAGAGGGAAGATAGAAAGTCTTGGTGACTGGAGTCTACGTATTGCTGATTTCTTCATGCAAACTTGAGTGTTCAGCACTGGTTTGGAAGATTTGGTTGCAAGTCTCCAGCTGCAGAGTGCTCATTGCCCTGGACTTCTGGGCCTTCAGGGCTAGCTGACAAGCCACCTTAAATGTGAAAGTCAGCATGATCTTCTAAGTCAGATCCTGGGAGGAAACATCACAACCAAAAACTTCTGGGATTTAGGAGCTACTTCTCTTTCTCTACCACCTTTCCTATCTTCCATAACCCTACAAAGAGCGCAGGTGCAGGCATCATCTAGATGAGAAATTACACTGACAATATGAGCTACAGTTACATGATCTGTAACTAAATTACCCCATTTAATCTTCAGAACACTTCCATGAGATTGAATCTGTGTATGTGTCAAAGACTCCATTTTTTTTTAAAGATTGGCACCTGAGCTAACAAGTGTTGCCAGTCTTTTTTGGGTTCTTTTTGCTTTTTCTCCCAAAATCCCCCCAGTACATAGTTGTATATTCCAGTTGTGGGTCCTTCTGGTTGTAGCATGTGGGATGCCGCCTCAACATGGCCTGATGAACAGTGCCATGTCCGTGCCCAGGATCCGAACCGGCAAAACCCTGGGCCACCGAAGTGGAGCGTGCGAACTTAACCACTCGGCCACAGGGGCGGCCCCCTCAAAGACTCCATTTGATCGGTTATATTACGTCCTCCTTTTTACAGATGAGGAATAAGGCACAGTGTGAAATTAAGTTGCGTAAGATCATAGAGCTAGAGAGTGCTAGAATCTGGAATCAAACGGGCAGTCTGTTACCAAAGCCTGTACTCTTAACCTCACTGACACAAGGCAAGTGGTAAGGTTTGGGAATACAAATAGAAGTTTGTTGTCTCACGGTTCTGGAACCTAGATGTCTGAAATCAAGGTGTCAGCAGGGTTCATTCCTTCTGAGAGCTGTGGGCGAAGGATCTGTTCCAGTCCTCTCTTCTTGGCTTGTCTTATCCTGTGGTTCTTCACATCCTCTTCACTATATGTGTCTCTCTGTACAAATTTCTCCCTTTTATAAGGACACTAGTCATACTTGATAGGGATCCACCCTACTACAGTGTGACTTCATCTTGACTACACCCGCAACAACTCTATTTCCAAATAAGGTCACATTCTGAAGTACTGGGGAGTTAGGATTTCAATATATGAATTTTGGGAGGGGACACAATTTAACCCATAACAGAGGACATCCTCGCTTCATGGACTCTGTCATTATATCTCTTCCATCTTGTTATGGGGTGTAAGGATGTGCCCCCACTTCAGAGA